TTTTTTACAGAAAAGAGAAATCTAATATTGTTCTTCTAATAAGAAAATACATATATTGGAGAGGAATAGTAATTAAAATTTTAATTAATAATATTACCTCATATTAAAAATTTTATTTATAACAGAATAAGCTCGAGGCCAATAACTCTTTTTTCTCTCTAATTTTCTAAACTCTAATTTTAGTTTGGGGCTATCGCTGTTTATTAGAGGTAGCCTCCTACTTCTTCTAATATAAAAATTCTAATCTTATTCTTCTGATACGAAAATACATCTAAAGCAGAGGAATACCAATTAAAATTTTAATTAATGATATTACCTCATTTTAAAAATTTTATTTCTTATTTAATAGTAAATATTCATATTCAATTTCACAAACCCCGGCTTCAACATAACAATTTTTTTTAATATATTATATAAGTTTGGATTCAATGACAAAATTTGATTTGGAACTGAAATTGATTGAATTTTCATGTCCAAGAATCAAAAGCAAACCCTAATAATAATATATAAAAGTTAAACTTCAACTTGAAAACTAAATTCTGATGATGTAAACTAGTCTAAAATCTTTCAAAAACATTGTAATCCCAATTCGAAAACTTGGTCAATCTAACAAAATGCTATATATTTTTTATACTGTATTTTCTCTATTTTTTTATTCATTTGAAGGATCAAACGTCCGTTGTCCATTGATAATGAATTCTAATTTCAAAACAAATATAAGTAGTGTGATTTATTCAGAGTCTATAGCTATCTTTTTTTGAGGAAAAATGATTGCATTAAACAGAATCATCAAACAATACATCTGAAATAAAACTAGGAGGGACAGGACCCCACAGAATAGGCGTTAGTCGCAAAGAGATGTCCTACCCTATTCGCTGATCTTTTGATAAAACAGAAAGAACAATCATGCAGTTCTTTAAGCATAGACTTGCACTCAGAAACTAACCGCCCTGAATAGGAGCTGTCGCTAGACCTGAGCTCAGTGCTTGGATCAACCCCAGCGAGTCCGACTAAGAAACTACTCTGTGCAAGGCGGACCCTTTCACCCAACTCAACGCCTCACGGAAAGATAAGCGATCAAGTATTGTCCATTTGAGTCCCTGACAACTCAGCCGACTCCCACCCTTGCTGAAGAAAGATGCACTGCTGCATCCGTGTTACATTTGAGAAAACCTTGGGGGGGGTCCCTGAAACAACTCAGCCGACTCCCACCCTTGCTTGAAAGAAAGATGCCACTGCCTTGCATCCGTGTTTACATTTGAGAAAACTTGGGGGGGGGGGGGGGGGGGGGGGGGGGGGCTTGGTCCTAACCACAGAACCGTACGAGCTACTGGTAGACTGGGTAGCTGCTCGATGTTGGGCCTGCTGCCATGCAAAAAACCACGTTGAAGCTTCATACTAATTCTTTTCTCCATATGTCATGTTGCATACAATAGTAAGCTTTCACTATTGGCCACACAAATACTATAATAATATTATTTTTCCTTTCAAGGTTATTGAATAATGTATTATTTACCCATGACTGAGCCAAAAATTTTAATTCTTTGTAATCCATTTACATCATACTATCGTTTTAATTTTTTAGCACGTATCTTATATATTAAATATTAAATAAAAAAAATCAAATACTACATAGCAAGGCAAAATACATGGGAGATCACCTAATTACTATATTAAATTAAAAGTTATACTACTCATTTATTTGAACTGATTGAAACCTTGCAAACTATTTTCTCAATTTTTTTTAGAATTTTTAAAGAAAAAATAGTTACAATTGAAAATATTGGAGTCGATCCGAATGTTAGGACTTGATTAATATTGGAAAGTACCTTTTTCAACTTATAAAAACTCAAAAAAAAAAAAAAAAAAAAAAAAAAAAAAAAAAAGAAGTTTTGAATGACCACATTGCAGAATTTAATATAAATTTCAGTTTCACAGTGGATCTGCCAATAAGTGCTTCAAGAATCTATTCGGTAAAATTTAGTTATGTTTAAAAAAAAAAAAAAAAAAAAAAAGAAGTTTTGAATGACCACATTGCAAGAATTTATATAAAATTCAAGTTTCACAAGTGATGCCAATAAAGTGCTTAAGAGTCTATTCGGTAAAATTAATTGTTTTGGGTAATTATTAGTTATTTTAATAACGTTTAGTTGTTCGAGTAAAAAGTAGTTATTTTAGTAGTTTTTCATTAAACACTAAAAGCTAAAAATATACAGATATCAACCTTTTATAAAAGGTTATAAGCTAAAAATTTACTATAAAACACTATCTTATAACCTCTAAAAGCTAGTTTAAAAATTTGTTACCGAATACAGATGTATTGTTAGAGTTGAATAAGTTAATAACCCCGAAGGGGAAAAAATTGTTGTTTGTGGTTAAAGTATGAAGTGCCTTGAACTTGAAGGTCATCAAATTACTAATTAATTAGTGCTAATAAAGAATTACGGCTTTGAGTTAGGCCACCTATACTAGAGATTGGTTGCGTGTTACATTCAAAATCCAGAAAGGGTCACAGAGAAGTTGATTTTAAATATATGATAAACAAAAGCTAAATTTTTACTTTTTCCATTTCAGAAACTCAAATCCATTCCCATTTCAAAGTCAAAATTACCAATTGAAATTAATTAAATCAATTAAGAATCAATTTTTAATGACTATTTTTGTGCATTATGGTTTTGTTTTCTATTTAATTTTATGTTATCTGTTACTCACATTTAAAAATCACTAAAGAAATTATTAATTTGTAGTTATTTTTTACCAACTTAATTAAATTGGCTAATAGATTCAATGGACTCCTAGAGTTGGTATAGAAACAATATTATTTTTTTTTATATATTTGTACGAAATATTCAGGTTCGTATCCGTTTTAACGGTCCGTAAACCTGATTAATCTCCGCTAACTCTGAGAGATAAATGGGCCGGTTCAGGAGAAGTTTACAGAATAGAATAATTTAAGAATATTTGTGTTTTTAAGAGATAAATATTTGTATTTAGATTCATTTGTCTCTTATTCTTAAAGACCCTCTTTAAATTTATTAGTAACAAAATATAACTTTTCTTTCTTTCTTTCTTTCTTTTTTTATTTGAAGACCTTCATTAGTAACAAGATATAACTTTTTCTAAAGTAACTTTTTATATGATTGAAAATATTAAAATAAGAAACCATCATTAATATATTTTATCTGATGTTAGAAAAATTATATTATTAGCTAGTATGTATAATCCAAAAAATATAATATGTATAAAAAATTAAATATAATTTGCTCACTTCGATTTATTTTTCGTTTGAATAATAAACTAAAATAAAAAATAATACAAGGTATACTATGATACATCGAAAAAAATAAATCCTTATTTAATATCTCAAATAGCAACTTTTATAAAATTTTATCAAACATATAATTATATATACCAATTCATTAAGAGTCATCATCCAATATTAAGAACTATCAATTAATATTAGATTTATCAAATATTGAGATTATTAGTTCATTCATTACTACAATTTAACCAATTACCCTAATTATTGGAACATAATGATGCTATTAATTATGCTTGGCCTAATGATTAAGTAATTATCTTACTGTATAAGAAATTGAAATTTAAAAACCTAAACGTCTCTGTCTTTTTAGGGAAATTGCAAATATAAAGGAAAAAAAATATAATTGAAGTGAATTACACCCTACATAATATGTATTTTCAATATTGGGCAATGATGGAAAGTCTTGAAGGTAAATTTACAAGCAAAAGTTATTATTGGTGTTGGTAGGAGAGAATTTCTCTAACGTAACAATTTTAGCTATTTACCCCTCAAAAATAAAAAAATAATATTTGGATAGTAACTATTAAAGCTTCCCTCCCTTTCCTCATTAAATTCCATTTTTAACAGTATCTAATAAATTATTCGAGAAAGAAATATATAATGAAAATAATAATAGGTGAGAGACTTTTTTTAAAAAATTTATTGATATACAACGCATAGTCTAGTGCAAGTGCATGTACGATCTCATAATATATTCAGATTTAAATCTATCTGTCCTCGATTCAAAAAAATATTGATTTTATATCAATTACCTTAATTATCAGCTACTAAATTTAAAATTACACTTATTTCATATAAATATATCATTAAAATACATTTAATGATATATCCTAAATACAAATTATAATTCAACGGCTAGAAAATTTGTTCTTATAACAACATATTTCTTTTTTTTTTTTTCCCTTTCCAATAGTATTTGAGACACATAGACAAAGGAAATTACAAATGATGGATAGTAAAATTATAATTTTGTTACAAACTTATTTATTACCCTCTCCATCTATCACACAAATATAAAATATAGGTAACTTCTTTATTGAGAATACAATTAATTTGTTAATTCTCTAACACACTCTTATTTAATCTTTCTTGTTATCAATGATTTTCCCATAAATAGTATGAAAATAAAAATCATTTAATATTAATATAGCAATATACTATTTAAACTATATTAATTAATTTTTCTTAATCTATATCACAATAGAAACAAATCTATTTTTTGAAAATGAAAGAAGCATAATCGCTATAGGTTTATATAAAGTGTTTAAACTTATTATTCTAAATTAAATATTTTTTTAGTGAATTTTATCCTCATTATTTCGTGATATCAATAAAATAATTTTAGTGCCAAATAATTTAGTCCAATATAATTTAAACTCCAAAACCTTTTAACTCATAATTTTCAAAGAAATGAATAGAAAAATATATGTAGATAAATTTTTTTTTTTTTAGTATAAGATTTAGGCTTTTCAGGAAAGGGCTAAAAGCCTTATAATGGCCCGATGTACGGTGGCTCCACTACTATTTATGCACATGCTTTGGTTGCACACAATTTTTTGTAGGTAACCTAACAACGTGTACAAAAGTTACTGCATGCAAACGCCAAACCAACCTCATTGATTGAGTATTAGATAGACGCAGCCTGACTCTCTTTAAATGCTGCGGTTAGTTGGTGTATCCTCCACACCACCACTCAATTAATAATCCCAAATAGATGAACAATCCAAACCAGAAATTCCTAAAACTACACCTTTCTATATAGACCATATTCAAAGATCGTACGGTTAATAATCCTTATGGGCGCTGATCATGCGGTAGTTTTCAAGAGAAAATCCAAGAAAATGGATCATCATCATCTTCAATCCAAGAAAGTCGACCTTGATGGGATTCTTAATGATCAGACGACCGAAATAAGCAAAGGGAACTATAAACGGTATTCTTTAGTGTCGTTCTGCGAGCTACCGGAGTATATGAAGGATAACGAGTTTATACTGAGTTATTACAGAGCTAATTGGCCTCTCAAAGAAGCTCTCTTTAGTATCTTTCGTTGGCATAATGAAACCCTTAATGTCTGGACGTAAGTGAGATTTTCTTTTCTTTTTTTTTTTTTTTTTTTTTTTTTTTACTTTCGTTGGCATAATGAAACGCCTTAATGTCTGAAGTAAGTGAGGAGATTTTCTTTTCTTTTTTTATTTTTTTTTTTTTTATTAATTTTCTGTTGTTTAATTATTTATTTTAATTTTTATGATTTTTTTTTTTTTTTTTTTTTTTTTTTATTTCTGTTGTTTAATTATTATTTTAATTTTTATGATTCTTTGATTTTTTTTTTAAAAAAATTAATTATTATTTGCAGGCATCTATTTGGATTTTTACTGTTTCTGGGGTTAACTGTGGCCAATATAATGCAAGTTCCTGAGGTAGCAGATCTTCTCGGCCTGTTTACCAGGTCTGTTTCAATATTTAATTTAAAGAAAGCAGTAACCTTTTTTTTTTATTGGAAAATGGAATTTGGTAATTTTCTTGATTATTGTAAATCTGAAATTTATTATATTTTGGAAATTGAAATCCTGAATTAGATCTTTATATTTGTTTTAGGTCAATCCTTACAAGTGGAGAGGCAAATATTTCCTGTAACTCTAAGGATTTCCAGTTGGTAGGTCACCTAAATTTTTATTAATTATATTAATAATTTCAATAAAATTAACACCATGCAATTAATTTGCAGGGCTCTACCAAACTTCTTGATTTAAAGCATATAAACCATACAAAAACAGAAATTACACCACTGCCCGGAACTCCAGCGACCCGGTGGCCATTCTACGTATTTTTAGGCGGTTCAATGTTCTGCCTCCTCTCAAGTAGCGTTTGCCACCTCTTTTCTTGCCATTCACATAACCTAAACATTTTCTTGTTACGTATAGATTATGTTGGAATCACTATAATGATTATTACCTCATTTTTCCCTCCAATTTATTACATATTCCAATGTGAAACACATTGGCACTACGTATACCTTATTGGCATAACGGCAATGGGAATGTTCACAATTGTAACACTCCTTTCTCCATCGCTGTCGGCCGGAAAATTTCGCGCTTTTCGAGCTCTTTTATTTTCTTCAATGGGATTTTTTGGGATAATTCCTGCAATCCATGCTACAATTGTGAATTGGTCAAATCCGAAGCGTAATATGATCTTAGCGTATGAATCATCTATGGCATTATTTTATTTGACTGGTACGGGTTTTTATGTTAGCCGGATTCCGGAGAGGTTGAAGCCGGGATGGTTTGATCTTGCGGGGCATAGCCATCAAATTTTTCATGTATTTGTTGTATTGGGAGCATTAGCTCATTATGCTGCTACACTTCTATTTTTGGAGTATCGTGACCGTGTAGGTTGTTAGCTAATTAATTATAGTAAATAATATTTATGTATTATAAGAATATTTGCATGTTGTTATAAGGTGGGATTTGTATGTGATGCCTATAAGTGGCGAATATTTTTTATTCATTATTAAACCAGAAAAAAAAAGGGAAAATGATTATGTAATTTCCTAATTTAATCAATAAATGTACATTAATGATTTTTTTTCCCATTTATTTGGAGCCTCAATAGACCGAAATAACAATACAGCTTTATGATAAGAAGTAGCCGACATCTAACTCACTGAATTGGTAAAATTATACTTATTTTTTTGAAGAATATAGGCATATTTTGGTTGAACAAATATTGTTTTTTGTCACTTCAATTTTGTTTTCTAGCTAAATCAAATCTTTTAAAAAGGTAAAAATTGTGATTTTGACTTTTTGATCCGATTTGATTTTCTACCGATTCGGTTTGTTTTGAATATTCATACTTATTAAATTCGATTAGGTTACTGCATAATTAATATTTAATTATTTTAGTTAAAAATAATTTAATTTGATTCCATATAACTGAATGCTAACCCAATACAACTACCATTCAAAATCTTACCAGATTAAATATCTTTACCAATAAAAAGTTTTCATACCACTCGAGAAAATTTTTCAAAAAGTTAAATAAAAAAATTAAAAGTTTTATGTTTTATGGAAACGATAATAAATTAACGACAATCAAATGTGGCATGATTAGTCTTTTTATTTTATGGAAAGTTAAAAGTTTTATGTTTCATTTGTTTCCGTAAAATAACTTACAAGAAAATGGCTTGCTGAATATTTTCTGAATAATTTATTTTTTATTGTTTGGTTGTAATATTGAAAATTAGTTAAAAATATTAAAGTCTCTATCTCATAAGACTATAAAAATATTAATAATAATAAAAATTTTATAATTTAAGAATTTTATTGTTAAATATGAACAGAATGCAAAAAAAATTATAAATTATGAAAGTCGCTAGTGCCGATGGTGGTGGTCAATAATGAATAGCAATAATGAATAGTAACCGGTGGTAATAACTATGATGATTAATAAATTAAAAAAATATAGATTTATAAGGTTTGCCACGAAAAATATTTACTCTCTCGAAAATTGAAAATTATTTTCTTTTAAAAATGACTTACTTTTCCTTTGACCAGAAAAATATTTTCGATTGACTTATTTTTCTGAACTCCTAAACAATAAAAAATTATGAAAAACATTTTCTTATAAGCTATTTTATTAAAACAAACGGAGCCTTAGATTCGAGTTATTTTCGTTCATAATGCAGTTACGGTCGCTTTGTTGAATTTTATTTGAAAGAGAAAGTTGTCAATGCCGTGTAGTTTAGAGAAAAACAATAAATTCAAAATAAAAAAATCAATGAAAAGCATATTTTAAGGTCACCTCTAGAGAAAAACAAATTAAATTGTGGAGACGCTCAACCAAAACCCCTCACAATTTCAAGATTTGGATCTACGGTGAAGGAGAGAGACCCATAGTGAATAGTGGGCCCATGGAAAACATCTATTCTATTGAGGGGCCACTTTATCAATTAAATGGAAAGTGGTCAAAGCCCCTGCATGGGCCACCTTTCTTTGATGAGGCCCATGTTCTCTTTCTGCCGGTTAGGTAGCCGAAACAATCGCAGTGGCAGACGCTATTATACGATCTCTTGCCATGATACGTAAGTTCTTTTCATTTGAAGTTTTTTTTAATTAAAATTAAATCCTTAATTTTTATTTCAGTATTGCTACAAAACAGTGGTAATATTCTTGGTTCACCAAATTAATAAAAATTATTGTAATCGAAAAGATTATAACCAAAGATCTCCCACTTCCCGTATAAATAATAAAATCAACTAAACAATACATGATTGCAACTTTAATTTTCATTTATTTTTAATTAATAAAAACTTAATCTTAACGAAAATAAAAGAAGATTCTAATATTGAAAAATAAGCTTTAAAAATTTAATGGACAAAAGCTCAATAATTTAAGGGGCAAAATATATGTATTTTGCCTTTTATTTTCTCCATTTTCATCTCAAGCTAGGCTTACATAGTATGAGATAAGAGGTGAATAAAGTTATATATTTAAAATTATTTATATTAATATCACCAAATTTTTATATAAAAATTAGTTTAATTTTATCAAGATGAAGAAAGATCAAGTGTGGAAATAAAATCCCTACAAAATAAGAGTGACAATAAAATGTTCGTTACATTAATAAATGCCTGACAAAAAAAATCTAAGGGGTTGGATTGTGCTTCCCATTTCACGCAATGCCCCTATTTATGAGACCATAAATGTCAAGTCTCACTACCTAATTAAGAGAAGGGACAATAAGCATTCCTTATAAAGAGGATTACTTACCTACTCTAATATATTAATTACATATAAATCCAGCGAATTATATATTAACATATAATACAATACTCCCTTCTTCCACGAATAAGTGTCGCATTTGTTATTTTTTTGTTATAAAAAAATCATTTAATTTATCTAATTTATAATGAATTATTGAGCAAATTTACTATATTATCTTTATTTACAATAAAGAGAGAATTTTTGAGAATTATAACAATTTATATTCGTCATTTTTAAAAGGTAAGAATGATAAAATTTTTTATTAGTTTTAAATTCATAAGTGTGTCATTTATTTGTGTATATGGTACTTTCGCAAATGTGATACTAATTTATGGGTGGAGGAAGTATAGTTAATAGATAAGTTTTTTTTTTTCCAAATTTTTATTTTGAATGCTTAATTAGTTGGAAAAAGAAATAGTACCTTCATGTTTGTGAATGGACCAATTAGACACTTTAACTATTGGATTCAAAATTAAAATTTCGCTCCAACTATTTTTCTATTTTTTTTTTATTTTCTTTTTGAAATCTAAATCCAAAATACATAGAAAAATGTAAAAAATTTCAGAAACAAAATTATAATCATGTGCATTTAAGAAAAATTAGTCATGTATACGTGCATTGCATAGATTAGAATATAAATTTTAATAGAAGTTTTAAATATTCTTATTAATTATTCGCAATAAAATTATTTTTGAAAGAAAATAATTTAGTAATTAGTTTCACACTTAATTATATGACCTCCAAAGAAAAGGCAAGCAATGATGGCATATCCGTGGTCTGGGTTGTCTGTTCTCATGCTAGCCTATAGTTGGAATTATTTACCAAATTGTTGTGATTTGTTTCTTCCATTTGATTACCTTAATTAATAAAGTTGTTTTTACTTTTTAAAAAAATATTTTTTTAATCTATGAACACAATTAACTAAAAAAAAAAATTGTATTTAAAGATAAATAATTAAATTTTAGAAAGATGAGGTGTCCTAATAATACAGTTGTCAATTCTCTTAAAAAAAACAATTGTCAGTAAAATTTTCTGGCGACATGTTGACAAAATACTTGTGATACATGTAAAAATTCAAATTAATTAGGATTTGTTCAGTAATAGGTTGTTTCAGTAATTCTAATAGTAGTTAGCTATTAGCTTTTAGCGTTTAAATGAGAAATGTTGAATAAAAATAAATATTTAATTAATTATTTAATTTAAAATGATAAAAAAATCAATTGTTTAACTTAAAAATTCCTAAATAAACGAAAGATATTATGATTGTAAACCTAATTGAATTATTTTCAAAAAAAAATCTAATTGAATTAAAATATTTATTTATTAATTGAGTGTATAAATAATATTGGATATTAAATGTTTTGCCAAGCTTGAAATTTGTACATATAACACATAATAGAGTTTCCATATCAATTAGATAAAAAATAAAAGCACTAATTCAAATTGGACTAAATATTAAAAATTGAGATTCAACAAACCAATTAAGAATTTTAGGGATAAATTAAATTTTGACTATATAAAAAAAAAAAAAAGCAAGTTGATCATGAATTAATTATGGCTATTAAATTTAAATTACAAAATTGAAATTATATTTAGGACTTTAAAATCAAAGCAAATTTATAAGTATAAAAATATAAGTCGTTTAAGATTTTTGCACGGGATTAAGAAAATAAAATTAAGGGTAATTTTTATCTCCAAATTAAGAATAACCTGTGAATGTACTTATTGTATTTAATGTATTTAATATAACAACTTAAATAAATTTTACCATGTTCTATAATTAGTATCAAAAGAAAGACCTTTTAATAAAATTTCTCACAGTATCTCTTTCAATTGCATAAAATCCATAACCATACTATAAAGTTTAAATCTTAAATAATACGATTCACAGTTACGCATCAATTTAGTTATCATTTTTATATAAAATCACATCAAAATAAATAAACACATGAACAAAATAAATGCTAAAAGAATAATATGATGATAAACACCTTGCACTGGAGACATCTACACCAGAAAACCTACATTAGTGCTCTTTCTTACTTCGTGTGTATATATATATATATATATACACCTATGGTATATAATCTAAATTTAATGATTATAATTGATAGAATATTTAAATTGATGAATATATTGAGCGTTACATAACTATTTCAAAATATGTAATGCTCGGTAAAAAAATTGATATTGATTTCACATTTAAAGGCATGAGATTCTCACTCGGTCATCAATACTTTATCTCTTGCTCGAACAAATATTATTACACATAGTCACCTCTATAAATTCTTGTACAAGGAATATAGAAGATATACAATTACAATTACCTATTTTCTAATATGATCTCATTCTCAACTTTTTACTTTCACTTTTATCGCTAATTAAGAAGCTCAAATAAATACTAATACAATAATAATTTTTTATTTTATTTATTAGCCAATAAAATTTAGATTTAAATTGAAAACCAATTTAGAATTAGATTATATATTCCTAATTTAGTTAAAATAGTAATTCTAATTAAGAAAACCAATATAACCAACTAAATTAAAAATAATAATATTTTATTTTATCTGTTAGCCAATTAAAGTGTAGTAAAATTTGTCATTATTAAAATTAACCATGTCATTTTTCACTATCTCAATATTCTCCTCCCCATTCTTATTTTCTTTATAAATATATTATAGATTATCAATTATATATATATATATATATATTTAGAATTAGTTATATATTACCTAATTTAGGTTAAAAGATAAGTAAAATTGCTAAATTTAAGAAGACAATATTAAACCACCTAAATGTAAAAATAATAAGTGAGTTATTTTAATCTGCTTACGGCGGCGCAATTAAAAGTGTGTAGTCTAAATTTGTACGAATTATTTTAAACAATTAACCATGGTCATTTTTTCAACTATTTCGTCAATTATTCTTCCTCCCCCATTATTATTTTCCTTATAAATTAAAGTATTAAGTAGTATTATTCATTATAGTATATATATATGAGAGGTAAGTATATAGAAAATATGTTCAGTACGTTGTTATTCCTTTTACCCGTGTATGCCAGAGTTTGTTGGATATATATAGAGCACTCAGGCAAGAGATATATTTTCTGGGATTACTTCAAGTGGACATATAGAAAAGCAGACTAACTTCCTACTTGAATTTACTCTTCTACTCCATAGAACTCAATAGTTCTCCTGCCCTCGTTCTGCTGGCTCGTCTCACTTTTGCTACCGCAGTCCCTTTACGTCCTGTGATAACAACAGTCCAGTGAAGTCCTCGATGCATTGGTTTTTATTTTTCCTTTCTGTGTCTTTTCTCGTTTCCATTTTACATGTGCCTTTAGACTTCTATTTTCTCAATATCACTTCGACCTTATCATCACCTACAACAGTTCTGTTATACCTACCGTTGTTGCCTGGTGTTTTGGAAAGATCATTAAGACTATATATATATATATATATATATTAAAATATTCAGTATCTTTATTTTAACCGTTATCAGATTTGTTGGATATATATACACTCAGGCAGAGATAAATATTTTCTGATTTACTTAAGTGGATATAGAAAACTAACTTTCCTCTGAAATTACTCTTCTACTCATAGAATCTCAATAGTCCCTCCCTCTCCTCTCGCTCTTCCTCCCCCAGTCTTTACGTCTGTGATAATCAACAGTCATGAGTCCCGATGCATTTTTTTATTTTCCTTCTGGTCTTTCGTTCCATTACAGTTCTTAGACTTCTATTTCCAATACAACTCTCTTATCATACCCACTTATACTTACCTTTTTGCCTGTGTTTTGAAAGATCAAAGACTAACCTTAAGCTATATCAATGGCTGCAGAATCCTCTCACATCCATATAATACTTCTCACAATCCTATGTTTCTATTTGGTTTGTTCCATGAAAAATAACAATATTATAAACTATAACAATATCTCCAACTTCTTGTCTTCTCTTTTTCGACCTGTTATTTCCATTAACAAAACCCAACAAGCTTTTCCTTCACCAAATCCAATTCTACCTCTTAACAACACTGTAATTACTGTAGCCCTAATTATTGTTCGTAACTTTAACCAATTGCCGAATTTAATTGTTTAACAGTTTTTTGTGCAGAAGACGCCATTACATGTTGTCAAGAAGAAGGGAAGTTTGGAGAAGATTGAAAATGGTTTGGCTAGAGCAAGAGCAGCAATCCGTCAAGCGGTTGAAAAGCGAAACTACTCGTCTTTTAAGGAGGAGAGTTACATTCCAAGAGGAGTCGTTTACAGAAACTCCTACGCTTTTCATCAGTTAAGTTTTGATATATAATTTAGCGTTTCTTTTCTATTGCGGTGTTTGTGTTGTGTTTAACTTTAATCTCTCTTACGGATTATTTGTTCTACTTAGTACAGGTTAATTACTTTCTTTACTTAATTACGGCGAATTGAAGCATATGAACTTCTTTGAAATCGATTTAAGCTCGGTTTAATCAACCGGTGCCAAATTGTTTTCTTATTTCTTTTTTTTTTTAAAGTAAATAATATTTAAAATTTATTATTTTATTCTTATTTAATATAGCAAATATAATAGTCAAATTTCTAAATTATTTCTAAATTAAAAAGTCAGGTCAATTGCACAGCAAGAGAAGAAATTCATTTACTGTACTGTACTTTGTTATCTCGATTTTTTATATATACATATTTAATACAAAAATAATATTTTATAAAATTTTAGCTCATTCAAATTTATTTTAATTAATATTAGTAAATAATTTATCTAAAGTTTTTAATACCAAGTTCAAGTATTGTGATTATCTTAATTTAAAAAATAAAAAAGCAAAAGTCAATTAAGTTTGAGTCAATTTCAAATCTTAGAATTTTTTTTTTTTCCATAATTAGAGTTAGAGCAAGTTACAACTCTCTTAATCTTTTAGCTTTTGGTTTTCAAATTAGATGATTGTAGCTAAAATTTAAAATTTTGAATTAATTAAATTTCATTGTCAATGATACTTCTTAACATATATATGTAATATGTTTATAAGAAATAATTAACTATATAAGTCTACTATTCTTCAATTATATAATTTTTATGTCTTTTGTTTATGCAGGAGCCATATAGAGATGGAGAAAAGATTGAAGGTGTGGGTTTACAAGGAAGGGGAGCCACCACTATTTCATGGAGGGCCAACGCACGAAATCTATGGCATCGAAGGCCAATTCATTCATGAGATGGAGAATGGTAAGAACCGCTTCATTGCTCGCCATCCTGATGAGGCACACACATTCTTAATTCCCATCAGCATCACCAATGTCATCTCCTACGTATATACTCCTCTTGTCACCTACTCTCGCGACCAGCTTCAACGGTTGGCCGTTGATTACATTCGCATTATAGCAGATAAATACCCTTATTGGAATAGAAGCAATGGAGGCGACCATTTCTTTGTCTCTTGCCATGACTGGGTACGTCAAATTCTTTCTTTACTATATTAGATTATCGATTAACCAGAACTGATGGCAAAAAAAGCACCTGAGCGAGGTTAGAGGAATCCACGAGTTCGTGGGTTCCGGGTCTAAGAGTGGACGAATGAATGGAGAATAGTCGGGTTACGCGTGCATGAAGCATCCCACGTGTTAATATAGTAGATTATAGATTATTATATGATAAGTAAATGTTAATAACTTGACTTTGAAAATCTCAGGCACCAGAAATCTCAACAAAAAATCCTGAACTATTTAAGAATTTCATTAGAGTACTGTGTAATGCCAATACATCTGAAAGTTTCCAACCTCAGAGAGATGCTTCTGTACCAGAAATCAGACTTCCTAGAGGCAAGCTTGGCCTTCCTTATAAAGGCCTTCCTCCAAGTAATCGTACAATCCTTGCCTTCTTCGCAGGCGGCAGCCATGGTTATATTAGACAGGTTATGTTAGAATATTGGAAAGACAAAGACGATGAAATTCAAATTCATGGGTACCTTGACAAGAAGAAAACTGATTACTATAAACTGATGGGTCAAAGCAAGTTTTGTCTATGTCCAAGTGGATATGAAGTTGCAAGTCCTAGAGTAGTTGCAGCAATTCAACTTGGATGTGTTCCTGTTATTATTTCTGAGAACTATTCGTTACCGTTTAGTGATGTTCTTGATTGGAGCAAATTTTCTGTGCATATTCCGTCAAAAAGAATACCTGAAATTAAAGAAATCTTGAAGAAGATTTCAGAAAGAAAATATCTTGTGCTGCAAAAAAGAGTAATGCAAGTTCAGAGGCATTTTATGGTCAACAAGCCAATTAAACCATATGATATGATTCATATGCTTCTTCATTCTGTATGGTTAAGGCGACTTAATTTGAGACTTTCAAATTAATTATTAATTTTTATTAATTAGATTAGTTGGTATTTGAATTTTCAATATCATATTGTGATTTTCTTTTTGTTGGTTATGTATTCTGCATTAAGTGATAGTCAATCCAACAAGTAACCGAATTTTGTATATATTTTGTATGTTCATTTTGATATAAGTTTGTGGGGGGTAAAAAATATAAAAAGTTAATTTTTGGGTAAATTGTATATTTCTTTCTAAGTTTAGGGGCAGATTGCTACAATCTCTCCCTTGGAAAGGTATTGGGCTGGGATACTCCTGGTTTCAGCGAATGTTGGGCCTGATACTCTTGTTTTCACTTAATGTTGGGCAATATCACCAATGCAAAATTTAATTAGTTTGCCTCTCCTTTATATATGTCTATATATATATATAATATTTTGTCAAATGCCAATTTCTTTTTTTTGACATAAAGGTCATAAATGCCATTTTTTCCCTTTTTGAACTTAATATGTATATATACATGGTAACTAGACGAAGGCTCGTGAATTACGCGAGTATTGTTGTTATATTGTATATTTATATATATTATAGAAAATAATAAAGTGTAAATATTTAAATTTAAATATATGAAACCATGATATTTATTTAAATTTAAGAGAATGCATGAAACTTTTGAGAAGTGACATACAGATTAGATTGTATTATATAATAAAGTTTTTTTTACATAATCAAATATTATGTAACATTATTATTTTTTATTTTTTAATTTTTAATATTCAGAGCAATCATTCTAATTATTTTATTACTTTAAGATATTTGTTTAATTTTTTCTATTGTTGTTATTTAATAAAATTTATTAATAATATTTTCAAAACAAAACTTATTTTATTTTAATATTTTAAAAATTCTAAATAATTATTATACATTATCTGAGCATTTTTTATACCAACATTATATATTTTAAAATCCTTTCAACAAAAATATTATATATTTTAAAAATTTTCTAGATCATCTAATCATATTTATATTTTATGCTATTGATAGATAGAACTGTAAATAAGTTGAGCGGAATCTTGTCAAGCTTTGGCTTCACAAGGAACAACTGAAGCTCGAGTTTGATTGAAAAAAATTATTCAAAAAAATTAGTCGGTAATTTAAGAGATTCTTCATAGAAATTTCAAATGTAGAAAATTTATTTTTTTATTTTTCTCTCTTTTTATTTACTAAACACTCTCTTTTTCCGAACGAATAATTAAATCTCAACTTTTAAAAGAATCTCTAGCAAAAACCATAAGTAAGGGCGGATTCGGAAAATTTAGTTAATGGGGGAGTAACATATAAAAGTAATAACTTAGTGGTGGCAAAAGATAAAAATTTAGTGGAGTAATTCAAATTAGTTTATGCATATTGACTAATATGAGTTTGAATTTGAGAAAAAGATTAATTCATAAAATTAGTCGGACTCAATTTTAAGAGAGTTCTCTTTCATAGGATAGAATTTCAAAATGTGATGAAAAATTTGATTTTTTTATTTTTCTCTCTGTTTTATTTTACTAAAGACTCTCTTTTTTCCGAATCGAATAAAGTTAAAAGTCGTGCAAACTATTAAAAAGAATCTTCTAGCAACAACTCTCGAATAAGTATAGTTTGGCGGAATTCGGAAAATTTAGTTTAAAGGGGGAGTAACATATAAAAAGTAATAACTTAGTGGGTGGCAAAAAGATAAAAAATTTAGTGTGAAAGTAAATTTCAAATTAGTGTTATGGCGATATGTCTGACTAATTATAAGTATAGTACGTATATTATATATATATTATATATATTTTGTCTTTTTTTTGCATTTCTTTTTTTTTTTTTTTTTCACTAGTAGGTTTATCGGCTGCTACTCCAAACCAGAAATGCTTAGAATATTAATTAATTTCTTATATATAGGTTAATAGTTATTATAGTCCATCTTGTGGACCATAAATGTATGACATTGTAAGATGCATTTTGCCTTTACTTATAGGCTTTATTTGGTAAACTTTTTGGTCTGTACTTATTGCTTCGTTTATAAAAAAAGAAAAAGAAAAAAAAAAAAAATGAAAAAAAAACCGGTATGTTTACAGTCTCGGTGATGTATGCAAAATATAAAGAGAAAACTATCGAGAGAGAATAAACAAGTTGTTATCTAAATGAGGATTAATTAACGTTAAGAGTGTAATACATCTGCTTTAGGTTTTGAGTTTAAATCTCTTGTGTATACCAATAATGTTAGCTTCAATGATATTAGAGAAATAATAAGGAATTAATTATGTAATCTAATAATTAATAAATGATTTCCATAAATAGTTTATTTTTTAGTATAAAGATTATAAAAAAAAAAAAAAAAAAAAAAAAGAAAAAAACCTTTTTACAGATCTCGATTATTCAAAAAATAAAAGAAAACTTCAAGAATAACAAGTTGTATCTAATGAGGATTAATTAACGTTAAGAGTTGTATAATCTGCTTAGGTTGAGTTAATATCTCTTGTAACCATAATGTCTATTAATAAATAAAAATAATAAGAAATTATTATTAATTAATATTAATAATATTTCCATAAAATATTTATTTTTTAGTTAAATATTAATTTCATCCTGCTGTCATGTTTTATCTTTTGTTTTGTTTTCTAATGAATATATAACGTTCAATTTGGTTGCCACGTAAAGCTCAATTGTTAATAATCATACAGACTGTAATTGGTTTTGTCATGTTGTTAATTACTTTATTATATTTTAATCGTTCACGGACGATTTGCTTAATTCATTAATTAAGTTATTGCTAGCTTAATTGTTTTTCGACACTTAATGCTCATCAATTCTCAATAATTGCAACTTCCTTGGTCCCATTTGAATATCATATTTTTAATGCAATTAAAAAAATAATTAAACAATTTCAATTCTAAAAACAATAATAATTGTACTTATCTCCATCCTTTTTTTTATTGATTCTTTAAATGATTAATATTTACTTAATGGATAGCAACAGTCAACAGATAATAATAAGAGTAAAACTCAAAAAATAAAAACCGAAATTTATGACAGACTTAATTTATATTAGTATTTGAACCAAATCAGTTAGTTCGGTCAATTTTAGTTAATTTTTGAAATGTTTATTTAGTTTTAAGTCCAATGAAACTAACTCGAATTAAATAGTGATTTTGATTCAAACCGATAAACGGAATATCTCTTGAATAAGATGATTAAACCGAACCGAAATGGATTGTTGGGTCTGTAGTTGGCTTCAGTTGGTGGTTTGCAGACCCCTTAAGTCTATGGCAAAATATTATATTGTCCATTATAAGTTGGTGGTGGCATATGACAACTTTTCCAAAGAAGTTTCTGTGAAAGGGAAAAGGAATAAAAAATATTCTCACTCATTAATCTGCACATCTTTGTTGTCACTTTGCACAATTGCACCCCACTCACTTCCAACAGACAACTTGGCTCTAGGCTTTACTATTCAGTACTAATTATAACCGTTGGATTCAAACCTCGTAAACTCCTAGTCATAGATTAAAATCACATGCTCTTCCGAGCCATTTGGAAGGTAGGGCCGGCTATTTCAGCATGATTCCAATCGATTCTTTATTTTTAAATTGAAACCGACCGGTTTCAGTCGATTCAATCATTTGTGGTTCTAACCTAGAATTCTCTGTTTTTAAAATGACGACTCTCAATCAGTTTCGATTCGATTTTTTTGAATTAGTTCCAGACCAAAGTCGGCTAGCGGCTGCCCAAAAGGCGGCTATCCATGTTTTCTATCTAAAACCTTTTTTTTTTTTTTGAAAATAAAAAGGTTATTCTTATTATTTTTTAACTGAAAATAAAAAATAAAAAAAAATAAAAAGGTTATTAATTGCAGTATTAGATAACTAATTACATTTTAATTTTTATCATTATGCTTTATTGATGAATTAAATTTTTTGGATTTAAATTCATTATTTTAAATTTAAGTTTCATCCATAAAATGTTTACAGTTGTTTTATAATTGAAATTTATTTTTGAACTGTTTACTATTTGTTGTAAATGAAAATTTGTTATTTTATTATCAAGTGGATACAATTTGTAAACTTAATTATATAGCTATTGATAAATCGAGTTGCAAATTCATAATTAATTAAACTTGTACTTGAAAATTAAAGATCGTAAATTACGCTAATTTATAAAAAAAAAATATTTATATACAATAAATTATAGTATATATATACATTTTAATTGAACAAAATTGATTTTATAAAATCAAAACCATTGTTTCAAATTGGCTGTTTAATTGATCAATTTTGTTATATATATTATAAGAGTGACATTGAACATACTATTTTTTTTCTTTTAACCTAAGTTTTAACTGAAATGAGTCAAACATCAAATATATAACTATTCTTGGTAAGATTTCAACATCAAAATCACTTTCATAAATAAAAATATTTTATATTTATTTCTAATCTTCATATATTTTTATTATCCCCTTTTTTTCTTTTTTAATTTGAAATAATATAATACCAGAAATGCATACTGCTTTAGAATTATTTTATTATTAACTAGTGGCTTAAGACAATGATTGCCCTTCATAGTGTATATATTTAGACACGGGTAATTGTTGGTGCTCATCACAAAAGTATATTATACGGATGTGTGAAAGAGAACAAAGTTTGTGCTTTGTGGGCCAAAGTTTGGGTTTGGATTGGCTATGGCCTTTGTTATAGAACTATCATTATTTATTTTTAATCGAGACCAATATAAAATAAAAATAAAATAAAAGAATTTTTGGTGTTAATAAAAATTTCCATTGTGTGGAGTGTATAAATTGTGCAGAAGATTCTTTTTTCATCTTTAGTTATAAAACGATTATCCAATTTGGGTCTTTTTAGATTTAGTTTTCAGTCAACTCTTTATTGGTTTTTATATTTCTAAAAAAAAAAAATTACCTTCCCTTAATAATAATAATAATAATAATAATTCAGTTAGATTAAATTGTGATTGGATCAATAAAAATAAACAGATTTTTTAAATAAACTTTACTGATAAAGTCACGAGTTCAAAACTTAAATTTTAAAAATGGACAAAAAATTAAAAAATTAAAAGATTAACCTCGTATTTGAAAACAAAGTAATGTGAAAATACTTATAGAAAAATAGGAAATGGAAAAACTAACATGAATTATTTAAAAAATATTATTAATAAAATAATTTCACCTAATGCAACTCTTCGTTGAAGAAATTTCTTATCCCCAAAAATTACTAGGATAAATTCAAGCACGTTTTTATTTTGTTAATTTTTAACTAAAAAAAGAAAAATTGACGATAAATTAATTTATAACGTTGTAAACTCAGAAACGTGAATTATTAGTTGGACAAGGGAGAGTGAGTGTGTAATAAAAGATGCTTGAGCCTTGAAGTGAACATTTACATAATGACATAAAATACTACTGAAGCTTTAGCCCCACACCACGTGGGTTTATAATGCGGACGCATAGGGTCTGAAGGCGGCTTGAATTGTCCATTTCAATTAAAGAGGCCTATGGATTTATTTTAATATTCTATGTGCATCTCTAGCGGCCTAGACAGACATGCTAGTTTCTAAATGAATTAATTATATTTATCAAAATTAAACTAAATCCATTTTGTTAATATGTAAATTTGTGACTGAACTTCACACTTTCATTCCTGTGATTATTTCAAAGTTTTCTAGAGATGGATCATGCTCTTAAAGTTGTAATTTTTGATAATAATTTTATTTCTAAATGTTATTTTCCACGTCAAAACGTGAAAAAAATCAGATTAATTCATTAGTTTCTCCAAAAATAAGTTATTGTTAAAAATTAAAATTTTCAGAATACACTTTTTTTAGATTAGAGTCTAATGGCTCTACCCATAAATCACACCAATGAAAATAAAAGTTTTATTGAAATAAACGTATTTTTTATCGAAAATAAAATAAAATAAAAACAATTTATTAAAAAATTTTATTTTATTTTATTAATTTATTTATATAATCGGTCTAATCAAATATTTTTCTAAAACTTGAAAAGTATCCATTTTAAGATGCCGCGGAAAAAGTATAAAGTTGAAAGGCAAGTTATGCATTCGCAAATTTCATTTCTGAAGTCACAAGTCAAAACCGGGACTTCTAGTTTTGAATCTTCAATCTTACGTATAAAGTTGACTTGGAACGGAGTCGAGTCTATCACTATGGCTCCTTATGCAAGTACCGCCAGGCTCTGGGTGGTAAGTTTCTGCATGTTTGGTACGCCAAACATTAATTTCTGAGCATCGAATTTATTAAACCCCAACACAAAAATTAAATCCCAACACATTAATTAAACTCTCAAAAACTCTTTCCTTTGGACCCAACTCCCAAACCAACAACAACATCAACATATGCAAAAAAACCCTATATATATATATATATATATATCCGGTGTTAATAAGAGATAATTGTCATATTATTATATTTTACTTAATTTATTTATATAATCGTCTAATCAAATATTTTTCCTGAAGCCACCTTTGTGGAAAAGTTAATCCATTTGTGATTAGTGAGTGCAGAGCAGGACATAGTGTTTATTTATTTTTTTGATAGATTTTATATAGTGTGAAGAGAGTCAGTGTATCGAGGCATTCGCAATTTCATTTCTGAGTCACAGCAGTCACACGAAAACCGCGTAGGAGGGACTTCTGATTGAGTGTTTTGAATCTTCAATCTTCCGTAAATTAAGTAGGGTTGACTGGAACGGAGTCGAGTCTAATCACTAAATGGCTCCTTATGCAAGTACCGCCAGGCTCTGGCTGGTAAAGTTTCTGCATGTTTTGGTAAGCCAAAACATTCATTTCTGAGCAAATCGAATTATAATTGAAAACCCCAACACAAAAATTAAATCCAACACATTAATTAAAAACTCTCAAAAACTCTTTCCTTTGACCCAACTCCCAAAACCAACAACAACAACAACATTGCCAAAAAAACCCCTATATATATATATATATATATATAAAAACCTACCTTATTCATTTTTCTATCATTTCCCTTCCCGTTCCTTTCTTTTTTTGGTAGCGGCTTTCGGATTTTTTTCACTACACACTACAGGGAGGAGAGCCTTACTTGACTTTCTTTAAAGCGATAAGCGTTCTATACATGGAAGTTTGGGAATAGCCCGGGTGTTACAAGGCCAAAAAAAAAAAAAAAAAAAAAAAAAAAAAAGGCAACAAGTATGGATTGGGAATCGCCAATTGAAAGACTAAGCAGGGTTGATAAAGAGGTCCGTACCAAAGAGATCTTATATTGAGTTCAGTCCTTTCCTTTTCCTTTCTGTGCTTTTGGTTTAAAATTTCTAAATTTTTCACACATAAGACATCCCACACCCTATAGTAAGAAAATAAATTCCATGTTCTTCTGGTACTCGTAGGCCCCGCGAGCCCTACAACACCATAGATTTGTGGTATATATAATGTATAACCTTGCTTAAAAATAATCATGTCTTACAAAAAATAAGCCATTGGCTTCAAACGAAGTCCGCGGCCTCCATTACATTCTCCATCGGCTAGCCTCTATTCTCTTCACGTCCACATACTTCTAAGGTAGGGTCTAACACTTTATTGATTTACTATCCATTGTTTTAAATTACTTTTCAACCAATGTTTTTTCGTGTTTGAACCACCGCACCTTAATTGACCTCGTAAACCCTATATATATATATATATATATATAAAACCTACCTTTTCATTTTTCTTATCATTTCCCTTCCCGTCTTCTTTTTCCTTTCTTGTTAAAATTTTCCACATAAGCATCCCTATATCCAGTTCTTCTGGTACTGTAGGCCTGTGTGTATATATGTAAAGCTATATCTTTTACAAATCCATGGCAAAGAAGTCCTCTCACATCCATCTACGTCTACTTTATACTCTTCTTGTCTACTTTTTCATTCTTCTTGTTTACTACTTTTGTTTCTTGAACCAGAACAAGATCGGTGTCGGCGATTTTTTATCTTCTCTTTATAGTTTCCCTTCTTCCACGACTGCTAATAATAGTTATGATGATATTATCAATAATACAGCCATTAAAACTGAGCATGAAGAGCTCGAGTTTTCTTCTACGCCAGCCAGTAATACTTCTGTTGGTGTTAGTTCTTTTGTAACAGTTTTGGCTCTTTCTTCTTCACAAAATCCACCATCTTCACTGCAAGACAGCGATAATTATACTAATGGTGTTAGTCCTGTCTCTGCAGTTACCGAGCCAACTGAAGTAAGCCTGACCGATGATTTTTGCTAACGATTGAATTTCTTTTCAAGAATTGTTTGATGTAGTATTAAAGAAAATCATATGCGGTATTGATCTGAATGAGTTTTGTTGGCAGCAGCAGAAGAAGAAGAAGGAGAAGAAGAAGGGAAGTTTGGAGAGAGTAGAAAATGGTTTGGCTAAAGTAAGAGCATCAATTCGTGAAGCAATTAAGACGCAAAACTACTCGTCGTATAAGGAGGAGACATATATTCCAAGAGGAATTCTCTACAGAAATCCCTATGCTTTTCACCAGTTAAGTTTTGTTATGCATATATTCCTTTCTTATTATCATCATGGTGCCTTTTTTTTTTCTTCTTTTTCGAAATTTCTCTATGATATCATTTTCCGTTTTGGTTCCCTGTCCATTCTTTCTTTTTCTAACTTAGCGTCAAGATAACGACAAAATCAAAAAATTTTTTTAACTTTACTAAATTGATCTCCTGATTACTAAGAACACCGTAGTTGGAGTGGTAAGCAACATCAATCTCCATACAAATGAGGATATAATTTCAATTTCCGAGAAATTTATTTTATTTGGACAAAGTACAAACCTTCTTATTCTAAAAAAAAAAAAAAAAAAAAAAAAAAGTACAAACCTTCTTATTCTAAAAAAAAAAAAAAAAAAAAAAAAAAAAAAATTATCTCCTAATTTAAAAGGTAGGTCAAATATACAATTTTTATAAATAGAGAAAATTCTTATCGGGATGGTTTCCCCTTAAAAATTTTTAAATGCAGAACATAGATAAAAAAAAACTTTTATATCTATCAAATAAATAAAAATAATTTTTTATTCAAATGAGAGTAATTCTAATCCAATTATAAGAAAAATGAAAACAAATATTGAAAATTTGGACAAGTCTAATTCTAGAACTAAATTAGACAAGTCTAATCCTAGAACTAATGTAAGAAATCTAATCAATTAAAACTTTGAACTGTGCTTTTTGAGGATTCTTCATTTTTTTTTTTTTTTTTTTTTTTTAGAAATCTAATCAATTAAAACTTTTGAACTTATGTTGCCCTTCTTTTGATTCGCGTACTTTCTCTACATATTCTATTTTTTTCTATTTTTTTTTTTTGTGTTTGTTCTCTTCTTGGCTTTAAAGATTCTTCTTTAACAGGGCTTACAGAAAAACTTTTTAATGTGGACAGATCTAATATTATCGTAGCGCTTTCCACGGAGAGATAATTAGTATCACTTGACAGCTACTATTAATACTATTATTTCTTGCATCTTTGATTATATGTCACGGTCTCGAAGGGCATTACGGTGGCGGGGGGATAACCGGCGCAACACACGACATGTTTCATCGCTTAGCTTCATATATCTGGCTTTGTCATCATCACATTAATTGCAAACTTATCAGAACATTGGTCCCATAGCGATCGGTGGCTTGGCACTACCGCCCATGTGCTCGCCTCATGCATCTACATATTGGCCTTTGTAGAGATTTCAGATAGCCTCTTCTTATTGTAACACGTTAAGAGCCTATATGGGTTGGAATGGCCAATACTGGAAGCTGATCTATTAGAGGCAATGACACAACTACGTCGGAATTCCACCTCATTCAAAAGAGACCTAAATCTTGTATTAGGGGGGGGCGGAGGGAAAAACGATGCCAGAGCAAAATCCCCTTTCACCGGTGGGGCAGGGCTTAAAGGCTGTCTGAGGGAAGCTCGATTGGAGAGGCGCATTGGCGTATAGTGGAGGAAGGGCTATCTACTGACCTGGATGTCGAGTGGCCTCTCGGTAATAGCTAACAGCCAACACACATTGTACTAGTACAACTTTTTCCACGTCATGGTTTATACAATTTGTTGATATACGTGGGTCGCACCATAATATAAGGGTCTTCGATCAATATTGTAAGATTTGCGCGGTGAGTTTCTTTTATTTACTATTGTCTTCTCCTTGCTTAAATGTTCTCCGCCTTGCCTTCTATCTAAGGATATTTGTGTGCATAGTTCCAAACCAATATCTCACAAATCAGACGGAGCTAAACTTTAATTTACAATCCTTAAGTGGGAGTGGACACTTTTATTATTCAACATTGAGTACTAACCAGGTAATTTAGAGGCATTTAGTTTTTAAATATTTGCGTCTTCTACATATAGTATGACCTCCTTATGCCTGAACCGAACTATTTTTGACGTTTGTGAGTGGTTTACACAGTGCCAAGTTTCAAGCCTGAGGATGGAGGGCGATATGATTATATTCGGTGATACTCTATGGACTGGTACCATTTGATATTATTATTATTATAGTACCTATGTACGGACTACAGATTTCTTGATATTTATTGTATTTTGGGCTACTCGCTTAGTAAATAGCCTACAATTGTTTTTAATATATTTGGGATATGGTTAAACATATTTTTCTCTTAAGGGCTGGTCAACAGTATATCTAATTAGACTTCTTATAGGTGTTATGTGCATCATATATTTAATGTATTATTTATTTTGGTTTCTTTGAATAATTTTTTGTTAAATGGCTTTTGTTTTTATTTATTATTTATATTTATTTGTTAGTTTTTTTATTTTCATATATATCTGTTTAATAATTAGTTTCTATATTATATCTATTCTACATGGTTATTAGTTTTTATACCAAACGCTACGGTGTGCACACTTATACACATTAGATTTAGGTTCTTTCATATATTAGGTTGAGGCATTGATATGACCGAGAAGGCTCTTTCACTTAGAGCTTAGAGAACACAACTTAAATCTAAAGCGACCTCAAAATTTTGGAATTGAATTCACAACACGTTTAATCGCTCTTTTTGCTGTCATAATGAATGATGCTTATAACTGAACCATTTGAGCAAAAGTAATGGATATTATATGAATATCCGATTTACGTTTTTGGAGCATATAATTTGGAGATAGTTATTTTAATTTTTCGAAGTTATATATTGCTATTATATTTGAATAGTTCATCAGATAAACGGCTATGAACTTGCATTTTTTTTTTTTTTTTTTTTTTTGTGGCCCTTTAGATTTTCTTTAAGCTTCAGAAACTTTTTATTGCGTCAGATGTGCGCTTCCACAACGCCAATTACATCTAAGTGCTCCACGGTCTAAACGGCATCGTTTGGTCTGCTCCAAACACTTTATTAATTGTTTCCACGTCATGGTCAATTTGTTGATTACGTGGGTCCACCATATATTGTTTGATGCCTGATTTTTTTTATTGTTCTCTCCTTCCTATTCTGTTGTCAGCTGAATTTTCAGTTCAAAATCTCACATCAGCAGCATTAATTCAATAGTGATAAGATCAACATTGAAACCAATATTTAATAGTTTTTAAATATTTGCGTCCACAAATAAGTAACTTGTGAAACCGAAGTATTGACGTTTTGTTCAAGCCTGAAAGATACGTAATTAGATGAAAATAATTTTAGATAAAGACATAACATTCTGATATTATTATGTAATAAAATATCAAAGTTTATAATATTTAAAAATTTTTCTCTAAGGGCCTGTCAACAGAATTAGCTATTTTAGTCATATTTATAAATTGTCTGAATAATTTGTAGCTGTTTTAGTAGTTTTTCATAAAACGTTAAAAAAGCTAATAACATTACATGGTTAATATTTTATAAAACGCTACCTTAACTTCTAAAATTTATTTCAAATATTATGTTACCGAACACAACTTAAATCTAAAGGACTAAATTGATTATTAAAACTTAATGCTTCATATGATGAACTATAATGAAATACAATATAATATAATCAAATACGTTTTTAATATAAAATGTATTTAATTACATTATATTTATTGAATATTATCAAATAAAACCTATGACTTCATTTGATGAACTCTAATGAAATACAATATAATATAATCAATAAGTTTGAATTTGATCAATAAGTTTTAATTTTATTCTATTAGAATCGTTTTTCAGATTCTAAAATTATAAATTTGAATTTTAGTCGAATGTAAATTAACTATATGTGAAGAGAAGTCTTAATATAAAGTTAGAATTTTCATTATATGATATGGAGATCAAAGGTTTGAGTCGTATAAACAGTCTGTCATAAAAATACATGAAAAAACTAGTTCAATCTTTCTTCGAACTCTGCGCGTAGCAGAAATTTGTGCATGATGTATAAATATTTCCTAGCCTAGGTAAAAGGGAACATGAAATCAATAAAACTAGCTTAGTTTGAAATTGCCAATTCAAAGGGAGACGCTCACATGTAGAACTTAAGCAGTTGGTGGATTATTAGGCGTTAAAATTGTTAATAATATGAGAGATAAACAAGAAAAGTAACTGCTAAAGAACACAAATTTCTAGTTTTAAGTTTTCAGAGACAGGTTGTAAAGGGCAGGATAAAGCCAAGTTCGTGTGTACTAAATTTCCAACTTGCAAGTGCACGTGTTTAAAGTACACATGGAATGAAGCACATTATACTCATTTGTCTACTTATTTACTAAATTTCACATGGTTATATCATTACTCTCTCTGTCCATTTTTGGAATTTGAATTGCTGGCCTTTTATTTCGAGTTTGCTGTTAGCGTTTTTGAATTTACTCACAAACTGTTTTGTTTAGAATATATTTAGTGAACGGTAATGGAAAATAATACATAAAAACATGTTGGACAACAGTTTTTAAACTAACTTTTAGTATTTTGATCAATAGTGTTCGATAATATAACTTTTACAATAGCTTTTAAATGAGAAAGTTTTTTTTATATGAAACGTTAAACATGTTTAGCTTTTAATGCTTGGCGTTTAACTTTTTTTAATTAATTTTTTTGACAATTATACCTATATTTTTCTCCAAATTCAACTAATTGAACAACTAATATAAAGAGTTATCGACTAAAAGCTCATAAACAGCTAACAGCTACTAAAAAACTAATAACTATTAAAACAATTAATATTATCCGACATAACCTAAAATGCCACCCTAATTAGAAATTAAAAATGTGATGTAACTATTACAAGGTGGTTTCTTAGTTTTAACCTAAATCAAGAATTATTTTGTGCAGAAGTCACATAGAGATGGAGAAAAGATTGAAGATATGGGTTTACAAGGAAGGGGAACAGCCACTGGTACATGATGGGCCAGTGAATGATATCTATGGCATCGAAGGGCAGTTCATTGACGAGATGGAGAGTGGGAAGAGCCACTATATGGCTCGCCATCCTGATGAGGCACAGTTATTTTTTCTCCCTATTAGCGTCGCCAAAATCATACACTTTGTATATAGGCCTCTTGTCACCTATTCTCGTGCTGAACTACAAAGGTTGGTCGAAGATTATATTGGCGTTATAGCTCATAAATACCCTTATTGGAATAGAAGCAATGGAGCTGACCATTTCTTAGTATCTTGCCATGATTGGGTATGTATGTCAATTTCTCTCTTTTTATACGACTGCATTCATATCCATTTTTATTTCGAGAAAAAACTTTTTTTTTCATAAATATTTATTGCTTTAAAAATATCAAGAAGTAATTAATGAATTTCTTTTTTCAATTTTATTTTTATTTATATTAAAGTCTATTTCTATAAATTTCTAAAATCATCTTTAGTTAAATTAATTATGTGAGATAAAGGGTGATTTAATTAAATTAATTGAATATTTAGTTATAGTTCAAGAAAATTAACTATTTCTTGAATTATCCTGTAAAAATCTTAATTAAATAATAGATATTTTTTGGCGAGGGAGTACTTTGTTTAGAATAATGATTGAAATAAAATCCAATTTGCACCCTCAACTTGTTATTTAAGATCAAAAGGTTAGACTCAACTTTTTGCACAATTTGCTGATTGGACTTGTAATTTACACTTATTTGTCCTACAAGCCTAAATTTATGCAATAATTTGGAAAAACTATGCGAGAATTTGACAAAATTAGAGGATTTTCGGGTAGTTAGCACACGAATTACAAGTTCAGCAGTAATGAGCCAAAAGGTCAATTTTGTAACTTTTTATTTCTAAACAATAGGTTAAGGGGGGCAAACTGGGCTTTATTCGAATAATAATTCATTGGTTTCCTATATTCAATATTGTAAACAATTCAACACTAATGTATTTAATTTTGAAATTTCAGGCACCACAAATTTCACTTGCCAATCCTAATCTCTTCAAGAATTTCATTAGGGTCCTTTGTAACGCCAATACATCAGAAAGATTTGAACCACAAAGAGATGTCTCTATTCCAGAAACCAAAATTCCTGTAGGCAAGCTTGACCCTACTGCTTATCAAGGTATACCTCCAAGTAAACGTAGACTACTTGCCTTCTTTGCAGGTGGTGCCCATGGTTACATTAGGAAGGTTTTATTAAAGCATTGGAAAGAAAAAGACAATGAGGTACAAGTCTATGAATACCTTAAAAATAGAAAAGATTACTTCAAAATAATGGGTCAAAGCAAATTTTGCCTATGTCCAAGTGGGTATGAAGTAGCAAGTCCTAGATTGGTAGAAGCAATTCAATTGGGATGTGTTCCTGTGATAATTTCTGATAACTATACATTGCCGTTTAGTGATGTTCTTGATTGGAGTAAATTTTCAATACATATTCCCTCAGAGAAGATACCTGAAATTAAAACAATTTTAAAAGGAGTTTCTAATCGACAGTATCTTCGTATGCTACAGAGAGTGATACAAGTTGAAAGACATTTCGTATTGCATAGACCTGCTCAGCCATATGACATGTTGCATATGGTGTTGCATTCTATTTGGCTAAGGAGGCTTAATTTGAGACTTCCATATTGATTTATTATTATTATTATTATTATTAAACCTCATTCAATTTTTTTATTTTTGCCTATATCACATTCAGTAATTGTACATATTTGGTTCCCTTTTGCCTCGGGAACTCTATAATTGGTGATTGTGAGTTATTGACAGATATAAAATTGTTATTTCTTTTTTATTTTCTTCATTCATTGGATGGCTAATGGATTAAAATAACATTATAAACTATACGGTTTCTTTTTTTTTTTTTTAATAAAGAATAGTGTATGCAGAAAGAACAAATTAAAAACGTGATTGTGTACTAAGAGAACCGAAATTTGGCTTTGAGTGGGTGCTGGGTACTAAGCACTAAGCAGCCATCTTTCTGAGCAAACTCAACAGTATAGTTGGAGAAATCCTGATCAAAGAGAGAATTTTCGCCACACGTTTCCTATCCATTTCCGCAGTTAAACTATAAAAGTTATAAATCACCTCACCAGCAACAACAACATATAAAAAGATACATGGCAAATTTGGCAATTTCAAAATCCTCCACCATTCATCTACTACTCTTTCCACTTCTAATTTTATGCTTTATTTTTGTTCTCATTTTCTACTTCTCTTCCTCGAACCAGAACAAAACCAACCACTATTTCCTCCAATCACCTTCTTCTCCTTCGCCAATTCCATTACCGGTGCCTTACAACAGCACAAGTCGTGCATTTGCTGTTAGTTCTGTTTCGCTGGTTAATAACAAGCTGCCTGTAAGTAATTAATTAAGACTAATTTTGTTTATTATTTCAGTTAATACTTAAGTTGTGTATATATATGTGGTTGTTTTGACTGATTGGTATATGTTTAATTTATTGTTGGCAGAAGAAGAAGAAGAAGAAGAAGAAGAGAAGTTTGGGGAGAATTGAAAATGAATTGGCTAGAGCAAGAGCAGCCATTCATGAAGCAGTTAGTTTGCAAAACTACTCGTCGTTTAAAGTGGAGACCTTTGTTCCAAGAGGAG